TGTGTGTGTGAGTGTGTGTGTGTGTGTTTTAAAATTTAAAATTAGATTAAGAACACCTTTGCTTTCATAATCAGTCCATCACAAAAAGATGGAGAAAAGAGATCATTCTTCCCTGCTTTGCATGATGGAGTGCCAGGCACTTAGAAAACATTTCATTCTCCCAGCTGTCTAAAAGGTAGGGATTTTTCAGGCTGGGGTTTTAGCTCAGTGGTAGAGGGCTTGCCTCACGTGTGTGAGGTACTGGGTTTGAGCCTCAACACCAATATAAATAAATAAATAGATAGATAGCTAGATAGATAAATAAAAGTATTGTGTTCATCTACAACTAAAAAAAAATTTAAAAACTAGGGATTTTCACAGCCCATTTTGCAGAGGAGGAAATGAATAAAGGGAGAGGTAAAGTAAATTTGCACACAGCTGAAGTTAAGTAAAGATGCCACAGCTAGTCAGTGGCTGGACTGCAGTCAGAGCCAACTCCTACCTGGCTGCAAAAGTTCATGTTTCATGAAGCTCTTCCAATTCCATGGACCCGGTGCAGTTGGCTCTGAGTCCTTGCTTGCTGCTCCAGGGGTTAATTCTTTGTTTTCCTGAAGTTTTCTCTGGTGGGTTGGCTCCAGGCACCTCTATGTCCGGGGACCTTTCTGTATCTTCAAGTCCATGGGCATTGGGCAAAGCGGTCATGCAGATGAAAATCATCTGAGAAAAGACATGAATGAAATTCACACCTCCGGTTTCAGACTCTGGGTCTGAACATTCACCCCTGTTTTCCCTTGGCCCATCAACTTGTCTCTTCAGCTGTGCTCACCACAGTCTCTGATGTCTGGGGTGCACTTTCTGGTTGTCCATGGGAACAACAAGAGCTGGAGGAAGCAGTAGGGCCGGGGGCTGGGAGAATAACGAAATGAGAGGCTTAGGGATTGCAAAGGCCTGGGGGAGACCAAGAGCCCAGGCCTCAGCTCAGGTTCTTTTTATTTTAATAACAACAACTACCAGGCACAGTGGTGCATACCTGTAATCCTAGAGACTCAGGAGGCTGAGGCAGGAGGATCCCAAGTTTGAAGCCAGCCTTAGCAACTTTAGCAAAACTCAAAATAAAAAATGAAAAGGGCTGGGGATGTGGCTCAGTGGTAAAGCACCCTTTGGGTTCAATCCCCAGTACCAAAAAAAAAAAAATAATAATAATAATAAAATAAAACCATGTGCTTTGTGCCTGGCATTGTTTGAAGTGCTGTCCTCGTTTAATCTCTTTACAAGTATTTTCAATATGCACTCCTAGATAGGGTCCTAGGAGATGGGCACTCTAATGACCTCCATTTTATAGTCCTGGAAATTGAGGCAAAGAGAGGGTAAGTAGTTTGCCCAAGGTCACACATCGGGAAGGAAGTTGCTGGCATTAAAACCCAGGTTATTTAATTCCCAAGTTAATAATACGTCTATAGCTTTTTAGCAGGAAGGGAGGGAGGGAGCAGTGGACAAGGGGTTTGCAGCCTTACAGCACAAACACCAAGGCCCCGAGAGGCTGTGTACAGGCAGGCACTGTGCAGGTGGGTGTATTTGGAGTCAGCAGAGTTGGTTGACGTTGCAGATCCTCCCACCTCCTGGCCACATAACCTTGGCAAGCAACCTCATCCAGAAGTGCTCATTTCCTCATCTACAGAGCAGGAATAATAATTCTTTTCTCCTTGGTGTCGCTGTGAAGATGAAGTGCAATCATCTTTGCCAAGCTGGCACATAATCAGAGCTCGGGAGGGTTCACTGTTAGAATCATTATTACTGAACTGTGCAGATAGATTGTATTAACACACCATAATTGCTACATAGGAACCTGGAAACTCCAAGCCCGGTCTTAGCAACACAGTGCCACTAGTCTCAAAATAAAGCAAAAATAAAAATGAAAACTTCATGTTGTCAAAGAGAAGGGACTATGAAAACAGCTATTACAGGACCCCAAGAAATTAGGGATATTTTCCTCAATGCTTCCTCATTTTTTGGTAAATGTTTCTAAATGGAATAAATAAAGAATACATGGATACTCAACAATAGTTCTTGGGATATGTGAATGCAAAACACTCTAACTTGTTTTATTGGTTTATTCCATGGCTTAAAAATCATACTTTGGGGCTGGGGATGTGGCTCAAGCGGTAGCGCGCTCGCCTGGTATGCGTGCGACCCGGGTTCGATCCTCAGCACCACATACCAACAAAGATGTTGTGTCCGCCGAGAACTGAAAAATAAATATTAAAAAAAAATTCTCTCTCTCTCTCTCTCTCCTCTCTCACTCTCTCTTTAAAAAAAAAATCATACTTTGTGGTGTGGACATTCTGCATAAGAGTTCAAATGGCAGGCTTGTAACCTGTAACACTGCAACATTATAAATGTAGAATTACTTTTAGGGATCTGAGAAAATTTGCATTTAAGAAATTGGCTTTGTGGGCTAGAGCTGGGGCTCAGTGACAGAACTTTTGCGTAGCAACTGTGAGGCACTGGGTTTGATCCTCAGCACCACATAAAAATAAATAAATAAAGGTTAAAAATGGCTTTGTATTTTATGACTGTTGCACCTGGATATATAAAATGGATTTAAAATATTATATGTTTATAATTTTATCAATGCCAGGAGGATCTTCCCCATTAAAAAAAAAAAAAAAAAAGGTGTCCATGACATACAACTTCCTGGCTTTTTGTCACAAGTTGGCATTTGCATTTCGTGGCTACAGCGGGAGAAATCTCTATAACTGGTGATTTTTATTGTGATTTGTGTATGCTGGAGCTTCTGGAAAGAAAGGGAGCACATGAAAGAGAGCCAGTTTCTGGATGGAAACCCACATTTGGCTTTGAAAAGGCAGTTAAGCTGCTAATGAGCCCTTGTTGGAATCTCAAGTCTGACCCTTGGAGGCTGATGATTTCCTAGCCTGATGTGCCTGTTTTTGAATGGGTCAATCTGGACTCTTAAGACTGTCGAGAAAGGAAGCTGTGCTTGTCATCTGGCCCTGGACCACAGCTGTCTGGCCCTGCAGCCTGCCCGTGCTGCAGCTGAGGAAAAGCAGGGGTTGGCCTGGAACCCCGACTTCACACATCCTCACCGCCTGGACCAGGCTCCAGCCCGACACCTGCTGCATTCTGTAGTGTGCGGTTCAGCCCCAGCTGGAGCCGGGCTGCCTGGAAGCAGAAGCAGGCCTAGAGCCTCGAACCCCCTCCTTCGCACAGGGAGTTTGCACCCAGTTTCCTCTGGACTTGGGCCTGCACCTTTTCCTTTTCTGATTTGCTTCATTCCCTTCCTCTGTTATATGCCAGCCATGTCTGTTCTGGGAGCCCTGTGGCTCTCTCCACGTGGGCCATCAACTGGAAGGCGGTGTTGGGGACTCCACACAGTGCATCAGGGGCACTTCTGGGGTCTTGTAGCATTTGCTTTCTCAATCTGGGTACTGTTTGCAGAGGGCCTTTGGGTTTGTGATTATTCACCTAGCTGTTGAATTACGACAATGTTTTTTTTTTCCCCTGTAAATATACTAAATTTCAGTGAAATTTTTCAAATAAAAGATTACACACCAAGGGGACAAAAAAAATAGCTTAATTGAAAAAAAATTTTAACTTTTCTTTTATTCAGCAAACATTCAGTGCTTACCCTCTTTAATCAGGCATTGCACTGTGACCTTGGAACAGGGGTAGAAACCACAGCACCAATCCTCATCATTGTCTCTCAGCTTAACCAGGAGGCTGGGAAAGAGCACAATATGCTCAAGTTTGAGGGCTGGGGGTGTAGCCCTCAGTGATAGAGGGAGGACTTTTCTAGTATGTGCAAGGCCCTGGGTTCAATCCCCAGTATCAAAACAAAACCCAAACAAAAAGACCATTGACTATGTGGTTAGGTTTTGTTCTGTCAGGGACCCATAGGTGCTAGGGCAGCACAGAGAAAGAGCTTCTAACTTGGGTGCTTTGCCACTCCAGAGTGGCCACTGCAGTGCCTACAGAAGCCAGACAGGAAATGGGCAAAGGTGTCGAGGATGCTGGGAATGCCAGCCAACTGGAAGAACATCTAGGCTTATAATTGCTTGAGCTGATTTTCTCCCCTTCAGGAAAAGCCACAAACCTTCATTTTTATGGGCGCTCCCTTTTTAAATACTGGAAATGAATTCAAATTTTTAAAAGCCAAACAAAACAACCTGCAGGACAAACTTGGCCATGACATGCCAGTGTGCTAGGCATTCTTCCAACCAGCCATCCTCCCCCTGACCAAGAAATTGCAATGTCCACTGGGAGGTAGGTCCAGCAGTGAGCCAGCATCTTTGGCTGTGTTTGTGTGTTGCTTCTTGAACTTCACCACGTGTAGGAATCACCTGGGCAGCCTTGTTTAAAGGCAAATTCTGACCCTGTAGAGCAGGTAGAGCCTGAACAGTTGTCCTTGCCTTTCTAACAAGCTCCCAGGTGATGGTAATGCTGCCGCTCCCTGCACTGAACTTCAAGTAGTTGCTCAGTAAACAGGGACGCAGAGGGAGCCAATATTTGAAGTGGGGGTATGTGGAGGATTTGCCATGAGAGGTGCATTAAAACAGGACAAGCATCCCGTTTTTACTTAGATTTCTGTTTGTTTAGCCTGGGTTGGCAGAGAGCTGATGATGGCAATCAGGTACTGCCCTAAGCCGCCTCTTCGTGCCGCCAGGTCTCCGAGTTTCTATTCCAGAAGTCGGGAGGCGGAGGGAGGAAGGTGTTAGGAAAAGCCACCAGGAGGCGGCGCGAGTGAACTGCAGGAGCTTCCCCGCCGCAGGAGGCAAACCCTAAACCAACTGTCCCCTCCCGGGACTGGGTCTCGGCATCCACACGCGGGGTAGGGTTTCCCAGGCTATCACACGTGCAGGCTGTCTGCGGATGCTGTCAATCAAGTTTTCTAAGGGGCTGGATACGGAATTAAAGGCGGCTGCGGCTCCGGTGCTCCCATGGTGCCGCGCGCCGGGCGGGTTTGGATTTTAAATCCCCGCGGCCAATCAGTGGCGCGTAGGCTTTTGTAACGTTCCCAGCGCCGCGTTTGAATTCGGGGAGGAGCGGAGCGGTGCGGAGCCGAGCCTCTGCACCCAGCCAGGTCTGCTGAGCAACTCTGGGAACATGAGTGCGGCGGCGACTGCGGGGAAGCTGGCGCGGGCACCAGCCGACCCAGGGAAAGTCGGGGCTCCGGCTGCTGGAGCCCCAGCGGCTGCTCCACTAGCGAAAGAGATCCCCGAGGTCTTAGTGGACCCACGCAGCCGGCGGCGCTATGTGCGGGGCCGCTTTTTGGGCAAAGGCGGCTTCGCCAAGTGTTTCGAGATCTCGGACGCAGACACCAAAGAGGTGTTCGCGGGCAAGATCGTGCCTAAGTCTTTGCTGCTTAAGCCGCACCAGAAAGAGAAGATGTCCATGGAGATCTCCATTCACCGCAGCCTGGCCCACCAGCATGTCGTAGGCTTCCACGGCTTTTTCGAGGACAACGATTTCGTGTTCGTGGTGTTGGAGCTCTGCCGCCGGAGGGTGAGTGTGGCTGCGGCGGGGGCCCTGGAGCTGCCTGGGGGCTCCGGTTGGGGTGTCCGGACCTGGAGCTGCTGGGAAAGAGTTTCCCGGAAAGGGGCGCTTGGGACCCGGGGCTGCTGGAGGCTGCTGGAGAGTGGGTGCTGGGAACCCTCGAGCTGGGAATGGAAATGGGCCCTGCTCTGGGCTGCTGGGCTCTCGGAGCTGCTAGGAAGGAGGTTCCGGCCAAGTGGCCCAGACCTACTGCTGCTAGGAAAGGCGTCTCCTGGACGCGAAGTGTGCGTTGGGCGGTGCAGGAGCCCGGCGGCTGCTGAAGATTTCTGGGTCGGGGGCGCCGCGGGCCAGAGCTTCCGGAGTGGGCTGGGTGCGGGAGAGGGTGCTTGGGGCCGAACTTCTGAGCTTCCGGAGAAGGTCGGGAGCTTGGGGACTCGAGCTTCCAGAGCGGGGCTGGAGGAGAGACCGTAGGAAAGTGGGTGCTGCAGGCGACTGCAGGGTCCTGGAGAGGGCGCGGGGCGGGGGGAGGATCCGATGGGGAGAAACCTGCCCAGACCCTTCGGTCCGCCAGGGTCCGGGTTCGTCCAGGGCTCCTTTGCCAGGTAACCCTCAAGTCCACCTCCCCTTCTCCTCCAGTCGCTCTTGGAGTTGCACAAGAGGCGGAAAGCCCTGACCGAGCCCGAGGCCCGCTACTACCTGCGGCAAATCGTCCTGGGCTGCCAGTACCTGCATCGAAACCGGGTGATTCACAGGGACCTCAAGCTGGGCAACCTCTTTCTGAACGAGAGTCTGGAGGTGAAAATAGGTGAGATGCTGCTGGAGGGGGCTCGCCGCCACTGTTGTCATGGTGGGAATGAGCAGGCGCCTGGAGAGAGAGTATCAGGAGGCCGGAAAGGCTGGGCTGCTGTCGCATTTAGACGTCTCTTTAGTCTAGAAGGTTAAAACGGAGCCCACAAGCCTGAGTCTGGCCTTCAAGATGCTTCATTTGTATGCCCCAACATGGTATCTTAGAAAAATAATTTGAATTTGTTTCTTATTTGGGAGAGGTGCTTCTGGAGTGCTGGGAGAGCACTCTACCACTGAGCTACTGCCCAGCTGGCTTCCATTTTTAAAATTGGGAGACATGGCCTAAAAAATTGGATTTGGAGCTTCTTTTAAACTGGAAGCTCCACTATCCCAAGGGTGGCATTCCCTCAGGGCACCTGTGCTAGGCCGAAAAGCAGGTGTGTCTCATAGATTCTCCCTCTGGCTTGCCCCTGTCCCCACCTCTCCCTGTCACTTCCTTACCAACTTACTAAGCAGCTGTCTTAAAGGGTATTCCTTTAATCCTCAAAGGCATTTGAGTTTTGCTCTGTCAATTCCCTTTTCTAAGAGGAGGGTTGAGAAAGGTCAGCAGGAGGCCCTGTTCCCTGTGGCCAGTGCAAGGAGGATTCTGGGTAAGCCTTCCTGCCCACGAGGAACAGAGGCTTGTGGGATCAAATGACTCTGATGCTTGATGGGCAAGCCTGAGCCAGCTGTCTGCAGTGATAGATGGCAGAGGCTGGCATCTGAGTACCCCCTCTTCCTCCCTCTGTCCCAGGGGATTTTGGACTGGCAACCAAAGTGGAATATGATGGGGAGCGGAAGAAGACCCTGTGCGGGACTCCTAATTACATAGCTCCCGAGGTGCTGAGCAAGAAGGGGCACAGTTTCGAGGTGGATGTGTGGTCCATTGGGTGTATCATGTAAGTTGGGAGTTGGCTCCGGCCCTATTTGGCCTCAGAGGGGGCCCTTTGAGACATCCGCCTGGCTGCATTCATCCTGCCTTGTGGAAAGGCTGCCCCCCAACAACACCTTACCATAGCTTTCTTCATCACTTGGATTCCCATGGCCTGGGCCTTAGCTTCAGGGAAGGGGCTGGAGGCCTCCACAACCCTGCTGTGGCCTCCGAGACCAGCAGCAACAGCAGCATCAGCTGAAAGCTTGTTAGAAGTGAAGAATCCCAGGACCCAGACTATACCTACCAAATTGGAATTTGGATGTTTCCTTTGCACAGTGAAGTTTTAGAAACTCTGATCAGCTCGGGGTGGGAGGTGCCTTGATATCTGGATCAAGCCTAGCAGAGAAGGGTTAGTGGTGAGCAGAGGCCTGGGCTTTTTTAGGTGTAATCTGTTGTGTTGTTGTTGGCCTGGGTACTCGGGGGTGAGACGTGGGTTGTAGCAATGGCTTTCAGACTTCTTTGCAATGGAACTTTTTTTCAAATAAAACCGACAAACCTTCGGTACAGAGTTACTGAACATGGAGCTGCTCCTACAGGAGCAGGTAGTCCACCTAATGACCTGATGTACATGGCCTGCACCCTCAGGCCCTGGATCGCTGCAGGCCAGAGGGGAACAATCCCTGGCCCACTAGAATCCAGGTCTGGTCACTTGTATTCTACTGAAGGCTAATCCTAGCTATTGATCTTGGGGCTGCTAAGCAGAGTGTGTCCAAAGGATGCCTGCTCTTCCTTCTGGCCCTGAGGCTACTTCTGCATTTGCATTTTTGCCTGAGAGGCTGGTGCTGAATCTGACCTTGTGCTTACAGGTATACCTTGTTAGTGGGCAAACCACCTTTTGAGACATCTTGCCTAAAAGAGACCTACCTCCGGATCAAGAAGAATGAATACAGTATTCCCAAGGTGACTAACAACACTTTAAAATTTAATTTTTCTCCAGAAGCTTATTTACTGAGCCCAACTCTATACTGAGGACAGAGATAGGTCTAGGGGTTCACGGAGCTATAGGGGATGTTTATCTGAAGTTGCCTCCAGAACTTGATGCATATGTACATGTAAGCATTTTTTTTTTTCTAGTGGAAGTTTGTAGATTATTGAAAGTAGATAGAAAAGCTATGTAAAAAGAAGGAAAAAAATACAGGAGACAATCAGGCAGATGGGTTGATGCTTTGGAAATGGACTAGCTTAATTCAAATGGACTCTTCTGCTTAGCATCCAGGTCACACCTGGCCAGTGTCTTGACTCTGCTGAGTTTCCCATTTATAAGGTGGAGGGACTGCCTCTGGAGCTTCTCCAAGAGTACTTGCATTCAGTAAGTGCTCACTGAATTGTGAGCCATTGTGAATCCAAGGGCTTTGCAATGGCAAAATGGTGTCGAATTTTCACAGCCACCGGCACAAGTTTGTTTAAAGGAATAGCCTGTTTCAGAGGCTGGCACCTAGCCATTTCCCCAGTTTGGTGTCCTCAACTTGTGACTTGCTGTCTTCAAACAATCATACTCGCCTCTTAAGTCCACCCTTGTTGAGTCACAAAGAGTTCATTATTAGAAAGACAGCAAGGAATGACCCAAGGTGACCAGATTCCATGGGTGGGAGTACATCTCCACCTCTTGCTGGGTGTGTATTCTTAGGCAAGGCCCTCACCCTCTCTGTGCCTCTTGTGCCTCTGTGTGCCTCAGTGTCCTCATCCTTACGCCCAGATGTTTTTGTGAGGGCAAATGAGTTAATAGACAGGAAGCACTTGGAACACTTTCCTGGTACATAGTAAGTCCAGAATCGGTGCTAAGCCCTTCCTGTGCATTGGCCCTGTGTTAGACTGTATCCCATTGAATGTTCTCAGTGGGGCTCCAGGCTTGGGGCTGTATTCCCATTTTACAGATGCAGATGCAAAGGCATTAGAAAGTCCAGATTACTGGTCAAGCTGGTACTAAAGGCCAAAGCGGAGGTTTAAGTGCAGGTCTTCGAACCTCGAGGCCTGTTCTTCAGTGCTCCTCTAGTGGTGAGCAACTTTAAGTGTACAAGGGCAAGTTCAGGAGAGAAATTATGCCAAGTTAATCCTGAGTCTCAAGGGGAAGGAAACAATCATACTCGCCACTTAAGTCCACCCCTGTTGAGTCGGCAAAGCTGATTGTGGAGAACTTGCCATTGCTCTGGACTGCTGACCTGTGGCATCCTTGAGACTAGGGGCCTGTCCACATGTGGGCTGGTCCTGCAGGCCATTGTGGCAGTGCTGCATGTGGGGTCCCTGTCACATCCTGCTTAAGGCTTGCGCTCTCTGTTCCAGCACATCAACCCTGTGGCTGCCTCCCTCATCCAAAAGATGCTCCAGACAGATCCCACTGCCCGCCCCACCATTCACGAGCTGCTCAATGACGAGTTCTTCACTTCTGGCTACATCCCTGTCCGTCTCCCCATCACATGCCTCACCATCCCACCAAGGTTTTCAATTGCTCCCAGCAGCCTTGACCCCAGTAACCGGAAGCCTCTCACAGTCCTCAATAAAGGTAAGCACGCGTCAGGGTAAGCCAGCAGAGCCCAGGATTTAGAGGCGCATACAGCTTGCTGTGTGGCCTCCAGACCTCGGGTGTGGCATGGGACTGGCCCCCATCCAGAAGGTCCTGGTGTCCTCCTGCCCCAGGGCTCTATCCGGAAAGCAGACCTTACGCAACTTGGCTGGATCAGGGTGTCGGGCTCAAGAAGAAAATGGCTGAGCCCACCAAGCCTGAAAAATAGTTTTGGATCACTGTGAAAAGTTCCCACGATCACTCTTGCATGGCTCATTGAGAAAATATGGAACATTTCACATAGACACCCAGGACATAATGCAGTAGACCCCCTGGACCCACCATTTAACACTCGCACAGATCTTGACACATTTGCTTCATCTACTTAGAGGTTCCTTTGAAGTGTTTTTAAAGTGAACTCTAGCACTCCACCATTTACCCCTAAAACTTCAGTATGCGTCTCTTTAAAAGGATGGACATTTTCTTACAAAATCACAGTCAGAGACTCTTTACTGGGTCCTGTCAGAGGGTGGAGTTAGGAAATGCATATTTGGGGGGAAACCTCGTGTTTATGATATTTCTGATTTTATCATCTTAATGTTTTATTTTTATATTGATCAAGCTTATGAAAAGGTGGTAGACAGGACTAACTCCTATACTTTCCTTTTCCCCAGATCCACCAATTACATTTTTTCCATATTTGCTTTGTCAGTCTCTCTCCATGTATCTTTTCCTTTTTTTTCTGAGCCATTTGAAAATATCTCATATACATCTTGTCCATTGCCCTTAATAGTTAACTGTATAGTTCCTAAAAACAGGGTCTTTTACAAACCACGGTACCTGGCAGACACCATTATCAAGTTCAAGCCTTTGAACATGGATCCAATGTTGCCCCCCACCCCCAAATGTCATCTTATAGCAATTGTCTTCTCCACTTTGAAGTTAATGTTTTTCTTTGGTTAATTTAAGTGGCTGATTCAGACAGAAATGTGTTACATTTTTTTTTTTTTTTACTTCTGATTTTTATACTTGGATGTATTTCTTAAGTTGAAAATCTTAACATAGTCCAAAATTTTGACATATATAAAGTGGTTCCAAGGTTCTAAAGCTCTGCTTTGCTTAAACTATCCTTTGTGAAATATATTTTTTTAAAAGTAGCTTGAAATACTTTGTTTCTCTGTGTGGATATGTCACCATTTTAATACAGAACTTAGAACTATTTCAGTTTTTGGCTTTTAGGGATTACTTGCTTGCTTTTAAAACTTTTTGGAATTAATTTGGGGCTTACCTAAAAGAGTTACAAAATAAAATGAAGCAGAGTCCCATAAGCTCTTCATCCAGTTTCCTCAAATGTCAGACTCTCGCTTAACCAAGAAACAGTTATCAAAACTGAGACATTGGGGCTGGGATTGTGGCTCAGTGGTGGAGCGCTCGCCTAGCACAGGTGGGACCCAGGTTCGATTCTCAGTACCACATTAAAAAAAATTTTAAAAAGGCATTGTGTTGTCCATCTACCAAAAAAAAAGATATTCTCTCCTCTCCTCTCTATTCTCATTCTCTCTCTCTCCCCCCCTCCCTCTCTGCCCCCTCCCCCTCCCTCCCTCCCTCTCTCCCCCTCCCCCCTTCTCCGCCCCTCCTTAAAAAAAAAAAAAAGAGACATTAGCTTTGGGACAATATAACAAACATCAGCCTTTCCTTGACCCATCAGTTTTTTCCCATCATACCCCTGTTCTATGCCATTCAGGACCCCACTTGGCATTTAGCTGTCATGTTGCCTTAGTCTCCTCCACCCTAGGACACGGCCTCAGTCTGTTTCGTGGTCATGGCCCTTTGAAAAGCACTGGTGAGGTTATTTCCTAGAATACCTTTCAATTTGTTTTTCAAGATTTACTTACTATTTAAGTGACTAATAGAGTTATCCCTGCCCCCTAATTTGATTTCGATGCTTCCTTGAGATTACATTGGAGTTGTGCATTTTGGGCTAGACTACTGCAGAACTGATGTTCCTCTCGGTGTTCTATCTCATGTTGGATTCTGGTTTTTTTTTTTTTTTTTTGGTACGGGGGATTGAACTCAGGGCATTCGACCACTTAGCCATGTCCCAGCCCTATTTTGTATTTTATTTAGAGACAGGGTCTCACTTAGTTGCTTAAGGGCCTCACTAAATTGCTGAGGCTGGCTTTGAGATCGGGATCCTCCTGCCTCGGCCTCCTGAGCCACTAGGATTACAAGTGTGTGCCACTGGGCCCAGCTTTTTTTTTTTTTTTTAACTTGGTGATGTTAATCTTGACCACTTGGTTAAGGGGGCATCTGATGGGTTTCTTCATTGCAAAGTTACTATTTTTCCTGTATCATCAATAAGTATCTTGCAGGGAACTATTCTGAGACTATCTTCTTTCTCCTCAAACTGTTGCCCATTAGTTTTTGCCTCCATGTGTGGGTTATACCTGCAGCAACTATTACTGTGTATATATTTTTTTTTTTTTGTGATGCTGGGGATTGATCCTAGGGCTTTGCTCCGGCTAATACTCAGGTATACAAATGCTGATTTTTTTTTCCTACCCCCCCCTTGGCCTTTTACATATCATTGATTGGATTTCTTCTACAACGAAGTGTTGTCCCTTCTCTTCCATTTACGTAGTTAATCATATTAGCAGTGGACTCATGGATCTATCTTATTCTTTGGGCTAGCATACTATTATTTTAAGGATCACTTTTTCTTTTGTTTTTAATTTGAAATATTTAGCATTAAAAAAAAAAAACTTACCCAAACATAGAGAACTATGATGAATTTCCATGTATTCTCACTGCTTTTCAGTGGTTATTAACATTTGTTTATCTATTCTACACACTGTCCCTCACTTGTTCATTAGCGTTTTTTAAAAAATATTTTACTAGTTGTTGATGGACATTTATTTAATTGTGGTGCTAAGAATTGAACCCAGTGCCTCATACATGCTAGGCAAGTGCTCTACCACTGAGCCACAGCCCCTTCCCTAGGATTTTTTTTTTTTTTTTTAGAGAGAATTTTTAAATTTTTTTTTTTAGTTTTCGGCGGACACAACATCTTTGTTTGTATGTGGTGCTGAGGATCGAACCCCGGCCACACGCATGCCAGGCGAGCGCGCTACCGCTTGAGCCACATCCTCAGCCCCTTCCCTAGGGTTTTTAAATCCAATCTCTAATTCTTATTACTTCACACTGAAGTCCCCATACTAGCATAGTGTTTTATTTATTGATTTTGCTATTTTTGAAAACTTTGGTTTACATCTTTGGTTACATCTAGGCATATAAAACAAATTTTTTTTTTTTTTTTTGGGCGCACATTTGTTTTAAATTTCTTTAGGCTTACTATTCACTCCTGAGAAGAATTAATATTACATTTTAACATTTCATATGTAACTAGTTTCAGCATTATATAAATTCAGTATTGTATAAAACAAATTTTAAGGTGGAAAAATCTTAAATTTTCATTAAGTTGCCTACTAAGTCCATGAATTATGATTCTCAGCCCTGGGTCTTTCTGGATACCGAGGATGCCTTTAATTCTTTGCCTAAAGCGCAGCAGCTCTGAGCTGTAGGTGATTTCAGGCCGTCTCCCTAGGTGATAGGTGATGTCCTGCGAGGCCACGCTGTTTGGTCAGAGGCCTGAGTGCCTGGCTCTGTGGCCTCCTGGTGAGCACCAGGAGCTGTCACGGGAGCACAGCAGCTGCTCTGATAAGCGAATACTGACTCAGTTTCCCCAAAGCAGTGGTAGCCACAAGCTCTTCTCTGGGAAGAGTGCCAGCTGTCACGGTGGTCCTGTGTCCCCGCCTATGACACACCCCATTTTGTGCCCAGCTAATGACTGTCACCTTCCTAGGCACAGAGAAGCCCCAGCCTGATCGTCCTCGGGAAAAAGAGGAACCAGTGGTTCGGGAGACGAATGAGGCGATCGAATGCCACCTCAGTGACATGCTGCAGCAGTTACACAGTGTCAATGCCTCCAAGCCCGCAGAGCGAGGGCTGGTGAGGCAAGGTGAGTACTGCAGGGCCCCAGTGGTGGGGGGGGGCGGTGCTGGGGCCACCTGGAGGAGCAGGGAAAGTCAATAGCGTCTGACTCCCTTTGATTTCTGTTTCCTATTGATCAAAATTTAAATGAGTGAGCCTGACACCCAAGGCCCTCAGGGTGGGGCCCCTGTGGCCTTTTTCTTGCACTACAAGTATTCCACCTTCTAGCATGCCAGCGTGTACGTCTGTGCATGCTGTTCACTTGCTCAGTAGATCCCAGCCTTCCCTCCAGACACCGAGACCCAGGCCCAGGCCTTTAGTTCCTTCTGCTCCTGCCCCTGGAAAGCGCTTCCTCCCCACATCTGCGAGCCTCGAACTCTTGCTTCTTCCAATGTCTGCTCCACAAACATCTCCTGGCACCCACTGCTGGCCTTCTCAACCCTTTACCTGCTGGGTAGTTAGTTATCCATAACCGTTTCACCCAGCTTATTCCAAAATTCCCGGCTTTGCTTAGTGTGTTTAAAATGATTGTTTCATGCACTGAACGTAACAATTTGATATATTCAGAATTGTGTATTTGCTCAGTTTTTTAATCCAGTTAGGCACTGACTTTTACCATGAGAGAACTAACTTATGGAGTTTGTCCATATGTGTTTTGATTGATCTCCCCCCCACACCCCACCTCACATGTGAGCTCCGAGGCCAGGCTTTTGTATCTTGCTCTCTCCGTGAATTCCCGCCCCAACTCCTGGTGCGCAGTAGGCTTTCTGTGAGCGCCAGCCTGCTGGAGGGGCGGAACTTGGTGCATAGTGTGATAGCTTGCCAGTTAGGTGTGTGTGCTGCCACTCCTCTGGGCTCGTTGGTGGCAGAGGCCCTGCTGTGCCTTCTCTGGGGCCCCAGGCCCTTGGACAGAGCAGTGGGTGCTCAGCAAGCTTCCTGGGTGTGGGCTCTGAGTGGGCGGGGAGGAGACTGGTTCTGATCAGTGGTCTGTCTGTCTGTTCCAGAGGAGGCGGAGGATCCCGCGTGCATCCCCATCTTCTGGGTCAGCAAGTGGGTGGACTACTCGGACAAGTATGGCCTCGGTAGGTCTCTCCCAGAATGGGGGGTGGCTCAGGTCAGCCAGTGGCCCTTGAAGTTGTTACAAGCTCTGGCCTTTTGTGGCTCCCAGGTCCCCTTCTCTCAGAACTCTCCTGTCTGCATCCCAGGCCTCCCAGTTCCAGTCCCCAGTCCCCCGCTTCCTTCCCCTTTCTGAGGTCTCCCTCCCCCTGCCTCTAGGGTATCAGCTGTGTGACAACAGTGTAGGGGTGCTCTTCAATGACTCCACACGCCTCATCCTGTACGACGACGGGGACAGCCTGCAATACATAGAGCGCGACGGCACCGAGTCCTACCTCTCCGTGAGCTCCCACCCCAACTCCTTGATGAAGAAGGTGAGCTGAGCCCCTGGCGGCTCTGGGCGGCCGGGTCGGCCACTGCGCAGCAGGGCTTCAGTCACAGAAGCCCCTCCCCACTCTCCCTCCAGATCACCCTCCTGAAGTACTTCCGCAATTACATGAGCGAACACTTGCTGAAGGCGGGCGCCAACATCACGCCCCGCGAGGGTGACGAGCTCGCGCGGCTCCCCTACCTGCGCACCTGGTTCCGCACGCGCAGCGCCATCATCTTGCACCTGAGCAATGGCACCGTGCAGATCAACTTCTTCCAGGTAGGCGGGGCAGGAGAAGGGTGGAGGGGGGGTCGGGAGTGTGGGTGTTGGTCCTCCGCTGCAGGCACTGGACGGGAGCCAAGCGGTGCTCCCCCTCCCCCAGCTGCGGTGCCTTCCTCCCCCGTCCCCTGTGCACACTGGCAGCTGGGATCTCCTGCCTCCCTTCCCTCCTTCCAGGACCATACCAAACTCATCCTGTGTCCGCTGATGGCAGCCGTGACCTACATTGACGAGAAGCGGGACTTCCGCACGTACCGCCTGAGCCTGCTGGAGGAGTTCGGCTGCTGCAAGGAGCTGGCCAGCCGGCTGCGCTACGCCCGCACCATGGTGGACAAGCTCCTGAGCTCGCGCTCGGCCTGCAACCGCCTCAAGGCCTCCTCCTAGGCCTCCCCTTCTGGACTGGCGCCTCCTCACCCCCACCAGCTCCCGGGCCTGCGCTGGTTGGCTCCCGTGGGCAGTTTCTGTAGTGTGCCCCAGCCCTGGGGGCTGGGCAGGAGCTCCGTGGCCCTGCAGGTGGGGTGTGTAAGTTATTTTTGTACATGTTGGGGTGTGGGTTCTGGCTCCTGCTCTCACTCGGCCCACCAGATGAATTGCACAGAGAATTTCTATTGAATCGGGACTGCCCCTTCCTCAGCTTTATACGCATTAAACACACGTGAATCTTCACTGTGGCTGTGTTCCCTGAGGGGCCCGGGCTCAGGGAAGGTGTGCTCCAGCAGACCCAGGCTGCCAGGCCTCCCTGGTTTCCTCAGGGACTGAGATGGGCCTCGGCCTCCGCCTCGGCTGCAGGCCCAACTCCCTTGCCTGCTGGGGTGGAGGCTGTCTCTGCGCCCTCTGCTGGCTCAGCTCCCCGTGGCTCCTGGCATGGCTCCCTGGCCTCCGCGGCTGGCGGGTAGTAGGGCAGGAAGAAGCTCTCCGATGCGCAGCTCCTCATGGTGCGGTGGGTGTGGAGGAGCAGCCGCGGGAATCGCTGGGTGAAGTACTGCACAAAGCTGTCGGGGACCTGGCCCAGGGCTTGCTGCACCTCGGCCGGCAGCTCCCTGTAGTGGTGCTTCTGGGGGGTGATAGGGGACCCTGGCTCAGCTGTGGCCCCCCTTCCAGGATCCAGGCCCCACCCAGACCCAGAACATACCTTGTTCCTCATGGCCCGCAGCAGGTCGCGCACCGATGTCCCCTTATATGACCGGAACCTTCTCAGATCTGTAGGCAGAGAAACGGGCTCTGGAGTTGCCCCGCATGGGCTCCCCTTGGCCACCCCAGGTGTGTGCCTTGCCTGTCTGCAGTGGCACGGAGATGTGCTTGTGCCAGTTGTGCCGGACCACCTTGTAGCCGCCCGCCTCCAGCGCCGTCACCAGGGGCCCTTGCCCAGACTCCTTCTCCAGCCAGTCACTGGCGTCCTAGGACCCACAGAGCTCCTGAGCCTTGTGACCAGTGCCAGCCGCCCCAAGGCCAGGAGTGTCTCGCGGTAGGAGTGTGAAGCAGAGAGCCTCTTGGTTTAGGGTGGTCAGGACCATTGTCTCTTGGGGACTTGGATTTGCTGGGCTGCGCCTCTGGGATTTACCACCTACCCAGAAGGCAGGTGCCATGTGTCCATTGTATAGAGGAGCAAATGGGTTCAGAGGCACAGTCCCCTTGGTCAGGGTTACACAATGGAATGGAATATCTGGGCACGACGGAACAGGTAGTTCCGCTGACTTCCCTTGTTGATCAGGACCCAACCTTAGGACTTCTGGGGGGCCATTCCCAAGGTTTCCCTCTGACCTGGAAAAACTGGAGCTGCTTGGCTCTGCTCCAGAAGAGGGGGTGGGCCAGCACCTGTGGAGCGGAAGGGCGGGCCTGCGGCACAGGGCTCAACATGGCTTCCACCAGGTCCCGGGCCACCACCTTGTCTGGGGGGCAGAAGGAAGGATGGTTCAGGCCTACCCAGCCTCGTGCCCTCTTCCTCCCTCTCTGCTGGGCCTAGGTCTCCCTCACCGTGGGCCTCTTCTTCCAGGTGAGTCAGACAGGTAGCTCCTGCAAGGATGTTGGCCTGGCGGTAAAGACTGTCCCCAAAGGGGTGGCTGCCACCAGAAAGCACATAATAGAACACACAGCCTGTAGAGAAGATGTCCACAGCAGTGGTCTGGGGGGCCAGAGAGACGGGAATGAGGAGGAGGAAGTCACCCTGGCTAAATCCCCTCAGGGGTTGGTTCAGACTACAACTCCTGGCCATGTCCTGGGCTGCATCTCTTGGCGTTAGGTCCCTTCCCCTCTGCTCTGTTGAAGACCCCCCTGGCTCTTCACCTGGCACCTGTGACCCTGCAGAGTTTTTGGTTTGGGTTTTCCCGCTCTTTCCTGCAGGTGCACAGGGAGCATGACAGAGGCTACAGTAGGTGACAGAGGCTACAGTAGGTGACGGTGAGCATTGGAGACCTGGCATTGGCCCTGACCCTGCCAGCTGATCCCCAGCTCCCGCTAATCGTCCCCAGGAGATTCTGCTAGGATGGCAGAGCTGATTTTTTTTTCCCCCCTAAGAGAATCCCAAATCCAGATTTTTATGCGGGATTTCCCCTAATGTCAAAATAGTGGCCAGTAATTTAAAAAAATAAACTTTCTGGGCTTGCAGCATTAGTGCATTGTTCCTTGGATCTCCAGCCCACCACTTGGAGCTTTCTCCTGATTTGGGGAGTGGAAGTGATTTCTCTAGTGACTGTCCTTTGGTATTATCTACACCTATGAATTCAACTTCCACCCACACACTGTGACTCCAAAATCTATAACCCTGGGGTCCCCAACTCCAGTGCCCATGGGGTCAGAAGCTGTTCTGTGCTTTATCTACATCAGCGGATGCTCCCCAGAACCCTCCATCCACATCAGTGATTGTGGACCCAACTCTACAACACCCAGGACGCTCTACCCCAGCTAATTAGATCAGAACCACTGGGTACCGGGGATCTGGGCGTTTTCTTCCCACATCAGTTCCCCAGTAATTGTGAATCAGTGAAGATTGGTTTTTATCTTAAGATCCCCTGCGCAGCAAAATCTCCCTGTTGGAGAACCACTGCCCTAGTAAGAAGAGCCCTTCTGCACAGATCAAGCAGCAGAGGCTTGGAGCAGTGGATCACTCAGCAAGTGGGGTAGGGCCTCTTCTGGAAGGCAGCTGGGACACAGGGAGCCCTGTGGCCTGGGGCAGGCGGGAAGACTCACAGGGCTGTTTGGGGGCAGGAGTTGTAGGAGCTCGGGTGCCATCCAGCCTTCGGTGCCAGGGATGCCCGAGCGGAGGCTGAAGCTGCAGCGGCCGGCAGGCAGCTTCTTGCAGAGGCCGAAATCCGAGAGGACCACCCTGCCTTGACCCTGGCCGTCAGGCCCGGTGAGGAGAATGTTGCCCGGCTTCAGGTCACGGTGCACTACAGGGGTGGCACGGAGAGGGAGCTGGTGGCTGGTGCAGGAGAAGAGCAGGTGGAAGTTGGGGACAGGAGACAGGGCCAGCGGTTACCTATGTGTAGGGAGTGCAGGTGCGCCAGGCCAGATGTCAGCTGCTGGAGTACCATTGTGGGCTCCAGGCCCCAGTGGCCAAGGTCAGGGTTCTCTACATACTGAGTAACATGGAAGGGCAAAGTGTCACTATGCAGCCCAGGGCCCCCTGCCCTCCCTGAGCTCCCAGCTCACCTCCTGCAAGGAGGCCTGGCAGAGTTCCAGGGCAAGGTAGTGGAACTGGGGGCTCCGCTCCGTGCAGAAGTAGCGGAGCACATTGGGGTGCCTGTCGGACTCCTGCAGCAGCTGGACCTCCCGCCGAACCAGACTGAAGCACTCTCGGAGTAGCCGTTTGACAGCCACCGCCCGACCCTCAAACTGTCCCCTGGGAGGTGGGTAAGGGGACAGGGGTTCCGAGAGAGCAGATAAAGGAAAGGGTAGGAACTTGTGAGCAGAGGGGTCAGCCTGTCCCCACCCTGGGGTGTCTTGAAAGAATGGTTCCCTAAGAGGTAATGGCCAAAGGCTCTCGGTGCCCTGTCTGTAGCCTGGCTCCTGCTTGCCTGCCACTTACCGGAAAACGAATGTCCCACCTGCCCCGCGTCCCAGCACGTCTTTGGGGTTGAAGGAAATCTTTCCCACTACAGTGAGCTGCTCGGCTAGGGAACAGAGGAGGGCGGTGTCACAGGGAGCCTCTGCTTGCTGTCCACAGCCCCCCTCTGTCCAGTCCAGACCTCCCCCTCCATGCTCAGCCTGGTGGGTAAGAGCCAGCACCCAGGTGTCAGATTAACAGGTCCAAGAGCTCTTCCTTCCTGTGTACTTGAGCAAGTTAATTGACCTCTCTGCCTGGGTTTTCTCATCTGTAAAGCAGGGCAATGTCAAGGACCCTACATCATATTAATGTGAAGACTGAAGGACTATGGGAAGAGGGGGCAGGAAGATGTTTGCTGAATTAGCCTCTTTTCTGGCATCTTCTGCCTTGTTTTTTTTCCCCCTGAATTTCTCTGCCATTAGCCCCACCTCCACCAGTTGTAACTGAATCCTTTAATTGAGGTTGGACTGGCTTCAAACAGGAAGGTGAACTTGGCAGTAGCAGCATGATGAGAGTGAGCATAGTTACAGAAAAGACTGGCCAGAAAGGAAGAAGCGGGGCACTGGGAGCCTCTGTGGCCCCAGAGTTAGTTCTAAGGTGGCAAGGGACCCCCAGAAGGCCTTGGTTTCCCATTAGGATGGATGAGGTGGGCTCAGGGGAGCAAGGGTCTGTAGGTTTGTAAGGGGCGCTCTCCATACAGCCAACTATATGACACCCCTGAATTGTGCAGAGCATAGGCCCTGAGAACATGCTACTCGCTTCTGGTTCTATAATCGGCTCTAGAAAAAGTGGAAAAGCAAATTAAAATCAGGGTTAGGAAGCAGTAAGAAAAGCCCTATTATGGTTGGGATATGAGGTGTCTCCCAAAAGCTCACATGGAAGACAGTGCAAGAAAGTTCAGAGGAGAAATGTCTGGTTAGGAGAGCCTTAATCGGTTAATCACCTGGTGGGATTTATTGAGTGGTAATTGAAGGCTGGTGGGGTGTGACTGGAGAAGGGAGGGCATTGGGGAGCATGGCTTTGGGATATATATATTTTTATTGGGGATTCAACTTGGGGGCACTCAACCACTGAGCCACATCCCCAGCCCTATTTTGTGTTTTATTTAGAGTTGGGGTCTCACTGAATTGCTTAGCGCCTCACTAAATTGCAGAGGCTGGCTTTGAACTTGTGATCCTCCTGTCTCAACCTCTGCTGGGATTACAGGCGTGCGCCATGGCATCCAGCTGGGGTATATATTTGTATCTGGCAAGCAGAGTTTCTCTCTCTGCTTTCTGATCATCACGAGAGCTGCTTCCATCCTCCACACACTCCACCATGATGTTCAGCCTCAACTCAAGCCCCGAGGAATGGATCTGGCTGTCTACGGACTGAGACCTCTAAAACTGTGAGCCCTTAAGTAAACTTTTCCTCTTCTATAATTTTTCTGTTTGGGTCTTTAAGTCATGGCCCCCAAAAAGTTGACTAAAACCAGCCCCAAGCCATGCTCTAGCACTGCTTGCTAAACATTCGTTCTCATCCTCTCTGCAATATGCATGCAGTAACCTAAGTTGGTGTTCCCTGGACATCCAACTTGAATGAATGCATTCAGGGCTTTGCAGAAAGCACATCACCTGTACTGTCTGTGGCAGCTCAGAAATCGGGGACAGAATCGACTGAAAACCTGTTGGAACAAGCGCTGGTCATCTGGTTTCCATTCTATTGTACGCCTGCTTTTCCTGTTCTTGATGCCCATGGTGTAGGATAAATGCTGGCTCAGTGCTTGCTAGACTGATGTTCAGTGGCACCCTCGGTACTAGACAGAGTCCAGCCTTAAGGCCTTGAGGACCTTGAATTCAGGTATTTATCAGCCTTCTGCAGCATCATAGTAGAGAGGCAACACATGTAAGAGGTAAGTTATAAAGCATTCAAAAGTTGTCATGTCGGGGACATGGCACAGTCAGAATTATCTCTTGGAAGTCCTGAGCACACACTGTATTTTGCTGCTGCTTTGACATAGGCTGGGAACCTTTAGAGATAGTCGCATCCTTTCATGGGTGTTTGCCAGTGTTCAGACAGAGCAGGATCCCACAGCAGCCCATTAAGAGCACAGGCTGGAGACAGCTTACCTGTCTTTGAACTCCTGAGCTGCCACTCAGTAACTCTATGAGCCTGGAGGTGAGATGCAGAGTGTCATTAAGCTTTTCTGCCTTCTTCCATAGAAGAGGCATCATAACAGTACCTACAGCACAGGAATGTTGTTAATGTGAGTTCATACATGCAAAGTGTTTAGAACAGTGCCTGTACACAGGAAATGCTAGAAACAGGCTCACTCTGGTTCAGGCTTGATAATGTCCACTTGCTGTTGGATGTATGACACGATTGGCAGTTCTGAAGGACACCCAAGTATGCACGGGTACATGCATTTGTGTTAAGTGATTTGTTAGCCATAGAAACACTCATAAGAAATGTCCCTCTCTCCTACTGAGATAGGAGGGCTAAGATTTCCAAGATCAGAGTTCCTGAGCTTGACATTTGTGTCCTAAGAATAAAATAGGCTGCCCCAAGTGCTGGGGTGGAGGCTATGTTTGAAGAGTGGGTTCTCAAGAGCTTTTCTCCATGAGCCATATTTTGACTCTCCCAGGTCTAACTGAGACTCTGATACTGTGGACTCCGAAATAGTTCTATCTGGGTTTTGCCTAAATGGGCAAATCTCAGACTAACAGTAACTCCGCCTTTTCCTCACAGTGGCTTAGCACACATTCATTTCATACCTATTTTTGAGAGATGCTGTTTTTGAATCTCCAGTGCCCAGAGTCAGTCTTGATCCAACAAACATTCAGTGAGCCCTGCTCTCTGCCAAGGGTCGTAGGAGTAAGCTAGACCAGCATAATCTCTGCTATAAACTAGCAGGGCAGCTGTTCCCAGACTGCCACAGTCCCCGCCATTCCTTATTGTCTCCTTGGTGGCTGCTTCACTCTATCCACTTGGTCCATGAGCATGAATCTGCAACCTTACTTTCACTTGCAGAATGTAATCTTTGAATTTTAGTTTGTGTCCCACTCTTTGGGGCTCACTTGCAGTTCCCCCTTCTTGGGCTCCCAGTTTGGGCTTCGAATCTAGGTTATTTCCTGTTTCCCAAGTCTGGATTTTGTGCCCCTTCTCTGAATTCCCGAAACTCCTTCCTTATATGATCCCACCACCACAGCGTTTTCCACACTACATAATCAACGCCTGTTCTCTCTGGGTTTTGTCTAGAGTGCATGAAAATGCCAAATAACAAGCTTATTCACATTTTAAACAAAGAAGTGAAAGAACTATAAAGACTTTAAATGACAGAGGAAATCTAGTATTATATAGTTATTTTTTTTCTACTGAGTTTAATAACAAAATTACCAGGCTCTATCTAGGCTAATCTCTTTGATTTTTCTTGGGCGCTTGTCCCAAAACATCGATATCACCCTGACTCTTTCCCTAGAGTGCATAAATAATTTTTGGTATTTTATATAACAAGGCTGTCTTGGCTGAGTCAGACCTGAGACTCAAGTTCTGAGATTCTTTTCCTTCTTCCTTGTTACTTCTCTAGAGGATGTCTGAAATCTGGTGACTTAGACGGAAATTGGGGAGACTTCTGGGGAAAGAATTTCTACCACCTCAATGACTGGAGCCTGGTGAGTTGGGGTGTGAGGGGTAACGGAAGGAAAATGGCAAGGAGGGTTTGCAGCACCCTTTGACAAAACCGACCTGGGAAAAGATGGAGTCTGGATTGTCTGCACTCCACTCTAAAGTCATCTCCAAACGGAGATGAGTGTTTTGGGGTGCAATAGGGTGATTATTCCCTGGACCCACTTTGAATCTCTAAAATGACAAGAATTACAATACTTCAGGGCTTAGGCAACTTGGCTGTGGGACACTGGAGAAGAGCTGGCCTGGGCTGCGGTGTAGCTCAGTCCTACAGCATATGCTTTGTCTGTGCTGGGCCCAAGGTTCTATCCCACAAGATAATCACTGATCCCTAGGAAGGGGAGTGTTTCCCTCTCAGCAGAGGCCTGAGGAAGGGGAGCACACAGGGGAACATTGGGATTGTGGTGCAGCTACAGTCAACTGCAGGGTGGACTTCAGCCCTAGTTGACAGCAGGTGGAGCTGCTGCATGGGGAAGTGGCAGGAGCAGGACCAGGAGGGGCCAGGCCTGGTTCACCAACAGCACCAGCCCCGCCCAGAGCCAGAGGAGCAGGAGAAGCACAGATGTGCTGAGCCCCCGGAAGCATCCCCAGATACCACAGAATCTTTGAAAGGGACTGTCAATAGGCTTAAATTGAGAAAAGATGAAAGGAATATTTAAAAAGATAAAATGGTGCCAGGTGTGGTGGTGCACCCCTGCAATCCCAGCAGCTTGGGAGGCTGAGGAAGGAGGATCGAAAGTTCAAAGCCAGCCTCAGCAACTTAGCAAGGCCCTAAGTGACTCGGCAAGATTCTGTCTCTAAATAAAACATAAAATAGATTTGGGGATGTGGCTCAGTGGTCAAATATGCTTGGGTTCAATCCCCAGTATCAAAAAAAATAATAAAATAAAATTTTACTTAGATAGCTTACCATTACCATTATAAAATGTGATATTATTTTATATTAATAACATCACCTAGGCCTGATTTAAATAATAATGATATCACCTCATTGGGAAAGGTTACTATGAGACAGGTGTTTTTAGTCCTTCTTAACAAAATGAAAAAACTGAAATTCACAGAGGTCAAGCAACTGGTCAATGTTAACAGAGAATAGAGTTTGATCTACATTCAGTTCTATCTACATCCAGAGTTCTTTGAAATTAATAATAAGTATAAAGAAGACCCTTGGGTGCTCAACAACACAATGCCCTCAAAGCACCCTCTTATTATCTTATTTAGGTGGAACCATCCCACTATCATGGCTTCTGTGAAATTCATTTTGAAATTAAGTGTGCCCCTCCCTTTTCTGTCCTGATTCTGGCCCATCTTGTTCACTCCAGCTCACCTTCAGGATCGCAGGGTGGATGGGCTTGCTCGGAGGGACTTTGAAGACTCTTCTGGCATTGCGGGGTGGCCCCTGGGAGCTGGGCCTGAGCGTCCTGTGAGATGGCAGGGCCTTCAGGTGCTGGGGGAGTCTTCTGCTGCTTCTCTGCCAACTGCTGCTGCTAACGCATGAGGGTTCAGGGAGCTTGGCCCAGCCAGGCCTGCCCAGTGAGGGCCCGCACCTAAGCTGGCCTCCACCTGGACCATGAACCCACACAGCACAGGAGCAGGGGACTGGGAACTGCTGGGGGGAAGGCAGGGCGCAGAGTTGGAAAGGGGTGAGGGAGAGGGTGGCTCAGTGGTCTGAGAGGAGCAGAGTTCTCTCTGGAAAGACACTACGATGCACCTGAAGTCAGAGCGATGGGCTTACCTGTCTCATCAGGAAAAGAATCCAGCCTCCCAGGAGGACACCTGTGAGACTCGCTGCCAGCAGGTCTTGGGATCCCAGCCCTGGATAAGAGTCTGGAGTTTTCTCTTCAGGATGTAGCTCTGCGTCCCAAGGTTCCTCTCGACTCGGGCTCAGGAGCTGGGAACGAAGCGGTTTTCAATCTTGGTACTCCCTCTCACAGTGGAACCCCCAACCCTTCCCCAGTCCAGGGCAAGGCTTAGCTGAAGGGGCAGTGAGTGGTCTGTTATGGTGGGAGCCATGGAGCTCTCCGTGGTGCTGAAACATCATGGTGCCCAGGAGTGTGGTTTGCCAAACCAGCATCTCCTTGCATGTCACTAAAAATACAGGTACTCGTGGGGCGTCATTAAAAATACAGACGTCCACCTCCAGAGACTCTGCATTTGGTGTGTCTGGAATGGATTCCTGGGTGATTCTGATGAGCGACCAGATTTGAGAATTAGTACTCCAAGTCACGGCTCTTCCTCCTGACCTTGAACTACTTACTGGTACTTCTTATCTAACCTGCTCCCAGGAAGGCAATTTTTTTTTTTTGTAGTTTTTCTGTTTTAAAATTTTCACTTGATGAATATTTTACAATATTTGTGCTGAAGAAAAATAAAAGACAGCAAACCATGTTTCACTGTTTAGGAACCCAATATCTTTTTGATACTTCTAACAGTTCTGACAGTGACAACCACAAAATGTTTGTCTTCTCCGAAACTCTGAGGTCACCTAATCCTCCATCAGGCTACTCCTAGAAGCCTGAGGGAAAGGTCCAAGGGCTGTCCATGTATCTGCTGCCCTCTGCCCTTCTAGCACTGACCTCTGAGAAGACAGTTGAAGTGTGGGTACTCTCCGGGGGTCTTGTGGCAGCAGTCCCACTCCCTGAGGTGGGATGCACCCTCAGCATGGTGGTGTGCAGGACTGGGGGTGGCTCATGGTGTCCTAAGGGGCAGGGACACAAATCAGAGGGCTGAAGGTGATCTCAGCCTTCTAACTTCTAAAGTATCTGGGCTCACAGACCCTTTATTCCAAATTTGAGCCAAGGGACCTTACCAATGAGCAGCCATTGGCTCGGGAGGGCCACACTGCCTGAGGGGTATCTGACAGCAGTGCTGGGTGAGCCCTCCCGCTCCCCCGAGACTTGGAGCGTCACCTCATCTGTGGTCGGGCCATCCATGGGGGCCAGGGTCAGTCCACGAGGCTGTGGGAGAAGATGGACAGCCATGAAGGAGGCCCCTCTCCTGCTACATTCCTCTTTCCAGCCCTCGAGAGACCCCTTCTCACCACCAGGGCCACTCCTGTGTGGACCAAGGCTTTGGAGACATAAAAGCCAGCTTCTTCTTTTCCTACGTACAGTGTCATCCTAATGGGGGAGAGAAAAGAGAACAATGGGTCACAGTGGTGTGTGGCTTCAGATATCCACATAGAGGATCTTTCCATATTGGTCAGGTGACTTGTGTTAGTCAATGTCCCTAGAAGGGACTTGTAAAATGCTTGTGTACTGGGGCTTCCTCCCTGGTATTGTTCTTGGGGACTCTGAGATGACCACTGAGGAAGACCTGGTGAAGTAGCAAAGAACTATGCTGTTTCATACCTTGTAGGCCATATGGAGAGAGGTGAGTGGGGACCATGCTAGATTGTTGGCTCTCTCAAGTCACCAGCTGACTGCAGGCCAGAAGAACCACCCAGATGACCCACAGATGCGTGAGAACTAATAAATGCGGTTTTTTAAGTGCTATGTTTCGAGTAGTTGGGCAGCAAAATGGATACAAACGTTGTAGTCACGATTTATAAATTTATGTCTATCCCAGCCCCCCCTTTAAAAAATCTCAATTTTCTAAATCTGAACACATCACCTGACTCTTCCCCGACTTCTGTTCTTTCCGGGCTTCCTCCTCTAGTGCTCCCTACCCCTGAAAATGATGGCACCCACATGCTTCTAGAAACCTAAGTGTGACCCTTGGCCCTTTCCTCGTTCACAGCCACCCTGCTTCCTAATCATTCTTGCTATCATCACCTCTTCATGTCTTATATCTTATTTCCATCTCTCGTTTTTCACTCTCGTCCAAAGTATCATCCTTTTCCTGAACTAAAGCATATCCTCTCAGCGTCCATATTTCCCTGAATCACTCTTCACATTGCGACTAGAAGGAGCTTCCCACAATGAAACTATAATCAAATCGCTTCCTCATATGAGGGGTCTCGGGGTCCTCCAGTGATTTCTCCTTGGCCTTGGGGAAAAATGTTCAAGCCCTTTACATGATCCCACAAGATCCCAGTTAACTTAGAACTTCAGACTTCACTTCCTGTTGGCTATATGCTCCAGCTTATTTAATTTTTTCTGTTCCCTGGATGACGTGCGTTCTATCTCCCATTTCCTATTTACCTTTTACATTTCAACTTACATGTCCCTTCTTTAAGAAGCTTTCCATGACTGCTCCTGCCCCCAGTCTCAATTTGGGTATCTTTCTTATACATTCCCACCATACCCTGTACTTCTCTCATCTCATCCTTTCTCACACCATGCTAGCACTCTGAGATTCCTGTAGGCAGGAACAGTGGCTGTTATTGTTGTATTCCTAGAGCCTAGCAAGTGACTGGCACATAGTAAATGCTTAGTTAAGTTTTTGGGGAACAAAATGAATAAATGGACAATCCCAGACTTTCCCAGTCTGTCTCCTGATACTGCAAGATGGAGACACCAAAGTATTAGGTGTTATGAGGGAAGGTGATTTTTAAAGTATTTAATAACCAGGCACAGAATCTAGCAATCAGAGGGGCTGTGGCCTATAGGCTCACTCGTAGGCCACATTTTACCCTATTAGTTGCTGAACAGTGGGGCTATCCAGGGGGCCCTGGAGGTACTTGGGAGCACAGTGTTTTGACACCTTTTTTGGTGCTGTTGGTGGTCATGGTTGAACATCATGCCTGGTCATTGGGTCTGGGCTGGGGAAAACTCCAGAAGCTCCCTTTCTGGCCCCCAGGAGTGGATACCTACTGAAGCTGGGTGTCCAAGACAGAGAAGTGTGTGGCCGTATGTTGGGGGCCTGAAGCAGGCAGCCGGATGTGGCCCCAGCGGATGGCGAGGAAATGCAGGGTGTCCCGAGCCAAGGTGAGGTGGGGCAGCTGGTGCAGGCCATCCTGATGCCAGGTGTAGATGCCCATCACAGGCACACCCAAGTCCTGGGTCCACAGCACCGTCCCACTTCCTGGGTCCACAGTCAGCAGCAGGCCCATGCCACAGGATGTGAGGTAGCTCATGTCTGCCAAGGAAGATGGCCGGGAGAGGTCAGAGCCCTGGTGGGCGCATCCGAGAGCATCCAGGGTGGAGGGATGTGCAGGCGTGTGGGGGTCCGGTGAGATTACTTGGAGGGTTTCCAGGACATAGGAAGTTCATGGGATCATCCAAAGGTGACTCAGATGTGCGTGAGTCAAACTGGGTCATCTGAGAGGAACCTTGGGATGTAGGGTAGTCAGCCATCGACTGATGCTCACTTAGGATGGGTCATCATTGTGGCCTAGATACACAGTCACTTGGAGTCACTTAGAGTATGAAAGAGTTAAGGGCCCTGGGAGTGTCGCTGTGATGTGTCAGGGTACCTTCATGGAGTCTCACGCAGAAGGATATAGTCAAGATTTGAGGGGCTATTTAGGGGCACCGGTGAAGTCCTTGGGCATTGGGAAGGCCTGGCATACTATCCAGGGGGTGGCTGGGTTTCTCTTGGGGGTCATGTAGGGTTCCATTAGGGCAAGTGGGGAGTGCTCAGCGTGTGTGGGTTGCTTGTGGTCACTTAGAGGCTGGAGTGGCCTAAGGCTACCTGGTTGGGGTCATTTGGGTTATGGAAGAGTTGGGATGGTGAGACCTTGCTCGGAGATATGAGGGTGAAGTCATATCTTGGAATCATCTACCAGGGGTATGTCACTCAGCACTTGAGGGGGGTCTGTGGGTCAGAATATGGGAGGGACTTGGTCAGGGATGCCATTCAAGGTTCCCTGGGCTGGGGACCTTACTCCAGGACAGGGCTGGGGAAAGGTGGCACTCACATTTCCCAGGTGATCCATCCATGGGGGCTGCTGAGTAGCGGCAGTAGGTGGTGTTCCAGCGCAGGGCTGGGGCCCTTGGGTCATGCATGGTAACCGTGTACTCTGGAGATCCCCCAAAGCAAGATTACCAGGAGTGCCCATGTGATGCTTCCCTCACCCCATCCCGAAGGCTGTTCATTTTGTGGCGTAGGGACTTCCTGGGCACCCTCCTGTAGGCCTGGTGAATATCCCAATGACAGAGCAGGAGGCTGTCCATTTCTGTATCCGCCACCATTGAGTTACATGTTTGTTGATGACTAACCAATCTGCCTGGTCTCAACTTGGATAGCAACTGCCAGGCCTGGACAGAGAATGAAGGGTGCTGCCCCGAGCTTGGGGAGCATCTGGGGCCTGACTCACGTGTTCGGCCGATGTAGAGGTGGGGGGTAGAGAGACTGTCTGTGGTCAGTGTCATCTGAGTCTCCCCTGACTCAGGATTCACTATGAACCAGGCGTCCTGCTTCCGTCCTGCAGAGGGGGATGGCGTGGGAAACACTGTGCCTCTGTGTCAGGCTGGCCCATCACAGCCCAGGTTCCCTCCCGCTGGCTGGACCTGGATGCCAAAGACTGGAGAGGAGCTCACCTGTGTAGAAGACCCCGTCGGAGCTGCGGCAGGGCGAGGCATGGACCAGCTCTGGGATGGTGAACGGCAGTTTCTAGGATAGAGAAAATGTCCAGGAAGAATTGGGAACACACACACACACACACACACACACACACAGCAGTCAGCTGTGCTGGACACCCTTCTGAGGTTGACCCCATAATCACATTTTCATGAGGCATCATTGTTATTATTATTTACGATTCCCAGAAAACTGGAGCTCAGAGAGGCCAAATAATTTGACTAACGTCACACAGTCAGTGAGTGGCAGAGCCAGATTTTATACCCAGCTAGACAGTCTTCCAAGGCAGTACACAAACACTTTGCTACACAGCTTCTCAAGGACCTGCAGATCTTCCCATACCCAGTGTCAAGATGCCCCAGGTTACACCCGATCCCTGCCTGATGCCCTCCTCAAAAACACACATGGAAACTTTCAAAACTGTCAACAGCCATGAAAGACTCAGAGAGGTTGAGGAGCTGATCCAAAATCAAGGGGACCCGGCTGGGGATGTGGCTCAAGCGGTAGCGTGCTCGCCTGGCATGCCTGTGGCCCAGGTTCGATCCTCAGTACCACATACCAACAAAGATGTTGTGTCCACCGAGAACTAAAAAATAAATATTAAAAATTCTCTCTCTCTCTCTCTCTGTCTCCTCTCTCACTCTCTCTTTAAAAAAAATATGAATTAAAAAAAAATCAAGGGGACCCTGCCCAATGTGGCTATGAGTAGAGATCCACCCACCACCCTCCTCTGCCCTGTTCTCTCCCTGGAGTTGAACTTGTCTGGATTATGTGAGTGGAGTCCATGTGCTCTTGATCCTTGTTAGGTTTGGATAATGGGGACAGAGTAAGATCAGGGTATGTATACCCTGTTTCCAGCCAAACAACTCCTAACTTTCAGAAACGGAGCCATATCCAGCTGACCAACAGCGGACCACGGGTGCAGGAGCAAGTTTGATCCAGACCAGCAGAAGAACCACCCAACCGAGCCCAGCCTAAATATCATCCCACTAAATTTCGAGTTGTTTGGTTTTGAGGCAATTGGTTATTTAGCAAAAGCTAATCGACACATAAGTTTATCCTTAAATCCACCAGAGTCCCGAGAAGCCCCCTCAATGTCCTCAGCCTGCTCTGCTGACAGTGAGGGCCACGCTCCCTCCAGCAGACAGCCTTCCCATGGTGCTCAGAGCCTGACTTATATCCCCGGTGAGACACCCGGATTCTGACCATGCTAACCCAGTGCCCTTCAGTGCACCAGCTGACGGCATCAGGGCCCCCGCCATCCCAGAGTTCTGTAGGAAACCCACCATTAATCCCTGTTGTCTCTGGGTCCCCAGGATGTACAGGCTGCCGTCAGCAGGGTCGGAGAGAAAAGCTGTTCTGTGGGACAGAGAAGGACATGGAGAAGCTTGAGGTCAAGGCCCTGATTTTATGAAGGTCCCCATTCCCTCCAAATTCTCAGCAGGAGCCCCAAGATCTTCCCCTATATCATATCCAGACCCAATTCTCTTCCCTCCTTTCTAACACGCACCCCCTCAAAGCAACCCTCCCATCTCCATCTCCCGGCTGCTCCTCATGTTCACTTACTCTGTGACATACATTGGTCCTTGGATGATGGGATCTGCAGGGACAGGACACGCAGCATGAGCCCCCTCTAGACTCTAGTTGAGAAGCACAGCTTGTGCTTACTGAGCCCAGCATTCGACAGGAATGTCAGGTCTCCTCCCAAGAACTCTGTGAGGTGGGCTCCTTGGCCCCATTTTACAGGTGAGGACATCGAGGTTCCAAGAGGTGAAGTGGACTTCCCACGGCTACCCAGCTGGGAAGTGGGGAAGCTGCCTGCAGACACTGGCTTGGTGGGAACTTGGCACCCACATGCTTACTCTCTATGCCCAAGTGACTCCCTACCATGCCCACCATCAAACTAGGGACCCAAGGAGAGAGCAGGGGCAGCCCCGGGCAGCCCCTGGCACACCATTCTTCAGCGTCCACTTCAGGTCCCCTGTCTGCTTGCTCAGCGCGTGGAGACTTCCATCCAAGGTGGACACGAGCAGGAGGCTCTCTGGCTTCAGGGTCTGGGCCTGTGGTGGGGAACAGCGTCAGCTCCTTTGAGAGGCCTGGGCTACCCTTGCTCCTGCCCCAGGCAGGGCGGACTGTGACCCCTCTTCTCCCAGAGGTGGGATGGAGGGGGAGGAAGGGTGAGCTGGGGGCTCCATGGAATTGACCCCACTGTATTTAAATTCCCACTTCCTCCCAGCTTCCGTTCCTTCTGGCTTTTTAAAAAACACTGCAAGTTGTTTTTTTAATATTTATTTTTAGTTGTAGTTGGGCACAATACCTTTATTTTGTTATTTTATGTGATGCTGAGAATGGAACCCAGGGCCTTGCACATGCTAGGTGAGTGCTCTACCACTGAGCCACAACCCCAGCCCTAAGGTTTTTTTTTGTTGTTGTTGTTTTAATATGTTTTAGTTGTCGATGGATCTTTTTAATTAATTAATATGCGGCGCTGCGGATCAAACCGAGGGCCTCACACATGCCAGGCGAGCACTTTACCACGGAGCCACAACTCCAGCCCCAACACTGCAATTCTTAATGAAAGGACTTCCCTGATCCTTCCAGCCTCCCTATGAGATTGCATCTCTGAGTCTCCCCATTGCACAGATCAGGGAGTAGGAAGCTCAGGAAGGTTAGGTTACTGCCCTAAAGACACACAGATAATCAAAGGTGCAACTCGGTCTTGAACTACCAACTTGGACTCTAAGCCTGGTCTCTCTCTCTTTGGCACAATGTCTGCCTCTTTTAGAATGACCCTTTCTGCCCCACACCCTCCCCCCAAACTGGCCCAGCTGCTTTGGGTGCCAGACTCCAACAGGCCCCCAAACCACAGCTGGGGGGTAGCTGTGGGGAGGGAGGCCTGGACCTGGCCCCTGCTGGGTTAACTCACCTGCTGTAGCCCCTCCCTGAGCAAACAGGGTGAGGCTGAGCTCACAGCAGGCATTGTAACATCCGGGTGGCCCAGCCACACCCCTGCGAAGGCCACATCCTGCTTCAGGACCCTCAGCTTGGGGTCTGAGCCTACGGTATCTGGTGCAGAGTTCGGCAACTTTCTCCCAGACCCACCCCCCTCTGACTTTTTTTGTACCTGGGATTGAACCCAGGGGCACTCAGCCACTGAGCCCCATCCCCAGCCCTATTTTGTATTTTACTTGGAGACAGGGTCTCACTGAGCTGCTTAGGGCCACCACACCCAGCTCAAGCCCCTCTCTTCTCTGGTCCTGAGTTCTTCCATCTGCAACATGGCAGAAGTGAGGATGGCTTAGAGAAGATGCTACACACTGATTGTCCCCAACGAATTTCGTTTGACCATTCAGGTTCAAAATTTTGGTTTTTATTACCAATTTGTGTAACATTTGGAAGATTTCACTCTAAAAAAAAAAATCAGATTTTCTATTTGTTCCCATTTCTCATTTTTCTGGAAACACCAGCTCTGGCCCCACCGGGCTCTCATTATTACTTGACAACCGCGGATGGACGCAGAGCTGGAAAGGAGGCTGGGGAGTAGCTCAGGCCAAGGCCCTTCCTTTAGTGCTGGGGGCGGGGGCTCCAGGCTGGGCAGTTGGGTTCTAGGTTGGGCATCTTCTGTGTCCTGACTGCGCTCCCCCAAGATTGGATGTCTCTGCTCCTGGCTGGGCTGGACCAGATCCCTACCACCTTGAGTTCACTTTTCTCACAGGTTCTGAACCTAGGGACCCGTCTTGGATGCGGTGTTGGGGTGGGGGTGTGTGCATTGCCAAGCACCTGGTATTGAAAAACGTAGAGGTGCATGTCTCAGCAGGGGATCCTTAAATTGGTCACATCTCTAAAGGAGGCTCCCTAGAAGTTTGAAGGGACCTGGCTCTACTGCCAGACTGTCCCCTTCTCCAGATGGACCCTGCTCCCTGCCCTCCGTGGACAAGAGGCGGGCGCTGCGCCTCCCTGTGCGTTTCCACGCTGGCACACCTCTCCAGCTCCAGACGCAAGTGGCACTTCCTCAGGGACCTACTGGAGGTGACCTGGGCCGGAGAGGAAGGGAAGGGGCCCCATTGCCCCGCTGTCCCCTCGCCCGCCCTCGCCCCCCCCCTGTCCCCTGCTCCCCGCAGACTCTAGAGGCACTGCCTCCTCCCCGGCTCTCACCTGTGGCCCGAGCGTCCCCAGCAGCGCCGCGAGCTGGAGCAGGAGCCCGAGCCCGGGCCACAGCGGCGACCCGGACCCCGGGGCGACGGTCCCCATAGCGCCAAAAGGCAGCCGCACACTTGGCCGGATCCCTCCGGGCCTCCTGGGGACCGTGTGGTTCCCGCCCTCCCCGGAGACTCCGCCCTGGGCAGGGACTGCTGGCCACGCAGAGGCCACCACCTTAACCTGCGGTCGCGGGCCTCTGCCCTCCCCAGGACACTCACACCGCATCGCCCGTGGCTGACTGGAGCCGCCTGGTGCCCCTCCATGACGGAGTGACATGGGGGGACTCTGTGGTGCCCTTTGTGCACCAGAGGCCCTCAGCCAGACCCTTTCTTTCGATGTGTCCCCTGCTGCTCCCTTCACTTCCTTTCTAGAAAGCTCTTCCCCACCCATCACCAGAAGGAGAAATCCCGTCCCAGGCTCTGGTTTTTTTCAGACCGAATGGAAGACACCCTCCGATCCCACTTCCATCCCGTGTAACCATGGAAACGGCCAGGACCTCAAGACCTGCAAACCTTGCTTAGCAGACGTGCAGCACGGTTCTGTGGCACGGTGTGTGCTAGTTTTGGTTTTTGCTATTGTGATGAAAAGGTCTGAGGAGAACAATTAGAGGAAGAAAAGTTTATCTGGGGGCTCCTGGTTTCAGACGTCTCAGTCCACAGCCAGCCAGCCCCATGGTCCTGGGCCCAAGGTGAGACAGAACATCATGGTGGGGGGGGTGGTGGGGGAAAGCAACTGGCACCAGGAAGGAGAGAGAGAGAGAGAGAGAGAGAGAGAGAGAGATTGATTTTCTCTCCTCACCATGGTCAAAATAAATGCCAAAGGCATGCCACCGATGACTCACCCCCTCCAGTCACACCCCACCTGCCTACAACTACCACCCAGTTAATCCACATCAGGGGATTAATCCACTGATGAGACCAAGGCTCTCGTAACCCAATCACTTCACTTCTAAACTTTCTTTCTTTGTCTCCCACATGAGCTTTTGGGGGACACCTGACATCTAAACCATCCCAGCGTAGTTGGGTGACTAGAACTCAACATAACATATATTTTGTGACGATCTAGAAGAGACTAGCTCAAAGGAAAAGCAGTAAGAACTGATCAGAAAATGGAAAGCCTAATTATTTGGGTTTGATCAGTTCACACGGTGTACGTGCATGGAAATGTCCCACTATACCCCATATATATGTACATGTGTGAACATTAGAAAAAAAATCAAATAAGTAACATACACCACGAAGGCTTTGGTTGACTTCTTTGTGCCCTCATGCCGAGCTGTTCCGATATTCTCCCCCATCCTCATAGCAGTCCTAACTTCCTAACAAAAGTGGTTTCTTGCCCCATTAGAAACCAACCCGAGCTCCTGAAGTGTGCAGGACCTCTTCCTGGTGCTTTATGTTGTCTACACTGTGCATTTGTTTTGGAAGGCGCATGGCGTGGGTCCATGGTCATTTCTCACCCAGCCAATCTGCCTCGTGTGATCTATGAGTGAACTGGAATATGCTGTGTGTGTGATGATTGAAATACTATGTCTTCCAGAAACTTTGTAAAATCAGAAAAGAAAACCAAATCATCATGGCTCCCTGTCCTGGAAGCACAGTACCTGTGTTAACGGGTTTCCTCTGGTGTCTTCTCCCTGTCCCTACAGGCCTGGTGAGACCCTGTGTTAAAATATGAACACCTTCTCCCTCTTGAGCTTCCTTTTCCCACTCAAGCGGAGGCTGCAGGTCCCTGAGCCACACGTGCAGCTTCCTGGCCCCAGGAACCAGCCCCAGGCTGACTTGGGGATCCAAGAGCTGCAGGCGTCTGGGCCTTGCAGAGCCTGGTAACGTAGTAAGGCCCCAGAGAAGGGTGGGCAGAGAAGGGTATCAGGGGGGTTCCCACGGACTGGCACGATCCAGAGGTGGGTGGATGTTTCCATGTGCCCGAGAGTGGCTTGAAGGGGGAGGGGATCCCCAAGTTAATGTGTGAGAAACTGAATCTCCAGATTCACACGCTGAGGGTATTTGGACAGGGGGCACTTGGGAGGTCACTGGAATGAGATGAGGTCCCGAAGACCCCCAAGGAGGGATTAGTGGCTTTCTAAGATGAGGAAGAGACCCCAGCTGGTACACGCCCTCTCCCTCGCCACGTGGTGCCTCCTCCCCCTGGAGGACATAGCAAGAAGAGCCTTGCCAGAGCTGGCACCAGACTCTTGGGCTTCCTGGCCTCCAGAACTGTGAGCCAAATAAACTTCTCTTGTCTGTAATTTATCTAGTCTGGGATATTCTGCTATAGCAACCTAAAATGGAGCAAGTTAGAAATAGAAGTAGAGAGATGGATGAAAAGCTTAACTGAGGGCGGGGATGAGAGAAAGAGAGAGAGAGAGAGAGAGAGAGAGAGAGAGAGAGAGAGAGAGAGAGAGATATTAGAAGGGAAAAGAGGTTCAATGCAGCAAGTTTATGAAGTTTTAGAAAACAGAATAAAATTTATACACATTTTAGCCATAAAGAAATGAAGCTACATTCCTTCCCTCCATCCCAGTTTGTGTTCTTAACTGCTCTGTATCTATGGACACATTCCGTTGGCTCTCCAGATCCACAGATTCCACATTTGTAGATTCAACCAACTGTGCATTGAAAATATTGAAAATATTTGAAAAAAAAAATTGCATCCATACTGAATGGGCATAGGCTTCTTTTTCTTGTCCTCAGTCCCCGAGCACTACAGAACAGCAACAATTTGCATAACATTTACATTGTGTTAGGTGTCATAAGTCATCTAGAAATGCCTTAAAGTATAGCCTGGCTTGGTGGGTGATGCATGTTTGTAATCTCAGCAACTCGGGAGGCTGAGGCAGGAGGATCACAAGTTCGAGGTCAATTTAGCAGAGGCCCTAAGCAACGTAGTGAGACCCTGTGTCAAAATCTAAAATAAGAAGGGCTGGAGATGTAGCTCAGTGGTAGAGCCTCCCTGGGTTCAATCCTCAGGATGAAAAATAATTAGATAAATATGTGGGAAGATGTCCATCAGTTATATGCACTCACTACATCATTTGGTATCAAGAACTCGGGCATCCAAGGAGTTTGGTATCCATGGGGTTCCTGGATTCACTCTCGGTGAAGACTGAGGATTACTGAACTTTGATACCAATGTTTTTTTCCTCTATTCTAGCAACAGAATGGAAAAAATAAACAGAAAGGGCAAAAGTATCCCAGCCACACTAGCAATAAAAAGAAAATACTTAGGAATCAATTTAATGAGAGGGGCACAGGACTTAGGAAAAAAAAAAAACTAGAATTTTATGAAGGTCATCAAATGTGAACAAATGGAAAGACATGTCCCTGTGTGGGAAGACTTAATATTATAAAAATGCCAATTCTCCCTAAATGAAAATATAAGTATAATGAAATTCTTATTAAATCATGTTTTTTTTTTAAATTAAAAAAAATCGGTGAAAATAAAGATCTTATGCAAGAGTAAATGTTGGAGAAAAGTCAGGAAGAGTGTGGAAATGAAGTCTAATGGGAAGGGGGTCTTGTTTTACCTCAGAACATATTGTAACACCACAATATCAAGATAATTTTAGCACAGGAACTGCCAACCAGATGAAATGTCAGTTGGATTGAACAGAGAATCCAAAAATATGTAGCAGTATATGTGAGAATTTAATAAATGACAAAGATGATGTTTTAATTCATTGGAATATTTGACTAATACTGTGGCACAATTGTCTACCCATCAGGAAAAATGCAAATCTTTCTTATGCCGTATATGTATGAGTTACCTATTGCCGCATAGAAGAGTATCTCCAATATCGCTGGGTTCAATCTCAGTTTCTGTGTGTGTGTGTGTGGGGGGGCTTAGCAACCATGGTGCTGACCAGAGCTATAGTTGTTGAAAGGGGGAAGGAGTCACTTCCAAGTTCACTCCTGTGGTTGTGGGCAGGACCAAGTTCCTGGTGGGTTCCTGGGAGAGGGGCCTCAGTTGCTTGGGAACTGTTGATTGGAGGCCACCTTCAATTCCTTCGGTGGGGGTCTCTCCCATAGGGAGAGTTTATAATGTGGCCGTGTAATTCATGGAGGAGAGAGGAGAACAGAGGTAGAGATGCTAGCAAGATAGAAATCACCATCTTTGGTAGCCTAATCTCAGAAATGGCACCTTGGCACCTTTGCCAAATTCTCTGCTTTGGACGCAGCTCACCTTCCACTCACGGGAGGGGGATTGCACAAGGGCTTTCCCTGGGGACACAGTAGAAGCTTGTGTGCCGCAATATACAAAATACATTCTGGTAGATCAAAGGTCAATGTGAATAATATGACAATCATCTCCTGTGGGGGGAACTGATTTTGTAGTTTTTAGTAAATTTCTTATTGAAGTGTATCATACAGAACAGTGTGCAAAGAGCAACGGGTCACATAGTAGTTGTCTCCTCCTTCTCCTCCTCCTCTTTCTTTTTTCTACAGGGGGATTGAGCCCAGAGATGCTTTACCAGCGAGCCACATCCCCAGCCCTTTTTATTTTATGAGACAGGATCTTGCTAAATTGCCGAGGCTGGCCTTGAACTTGCTATCCTCCTGCCTCAGCCTCCCAAGTCGCTGGGATCACAGACATGTACCACCATGGGCCAGCCTGTACCTGTTATTGGGTGAGCACATTTATACATGTCAATTAGTCATATACTCAGGAGCACAATTGCCGGGTCATAGGACATGTGTATGTTCAGCCTCCGTAGATTTTGGAAAACAATTTTCCAAACTGTTGTACCAGCTGACATTTGTTGGTAGTGGTGGTGATTTTTTTTTTTTAATGAAATAGAGAAGATGTAAAAGAAAAACAAATATATGTGAAATATACAAAAAATAAAACTTTAGAATGGTAAAAAGCATGTTAAACAAACACCAGATTAGAAAAATACTGATAATTTAGACAATAAGCCAGGGATTAACATCTACGAGATATATATATATATATATATCTGCTCCCATAAATTGACAAGAAAAAGACAAAACAACTAAAAAATATGCAAAAGCTATGAATAGACCCTTACATCAGATCAATTCCAAACACGTGAAAATGTGCTCACAATCCCCAGCAGTCAGAGAAATGGGAAAAACAAGATTAAAAAAAGTAACAACAAGTATATCAGTTTTTGCCCATAAATTTGCAAAAAAAAATTAAAAAGAAGCTTCCCGGAAATGTGAGAATAACTGATAATTGCTAAAGTTGATTTATAAGTTTTTTTGGGAGGGCTCCTCCTACTATCTTATTTTCTTTAAAAATATTTGAAAATGTCCATAGTAAGTAGAATAAAAGAAACCCCAAACAACAAGGAAAAAGAATGCTGAGTCTATGGTTCTGGGCATATGGCGGCAGCCTCCTCACACAGTGCTGGAGGAAA